GTTCGAAACTACCAGCTGTTCCCCAGGAGAAAGATGAGGCTTTCTGCTCCTGTAAAGATTTACAGCCTCGGAAACCCTGTACAGGGTCACTATGAGGCAGAACCAACTCCACGGCACATAACAACAACAACAATGTGTGGCACAGTAGACTAACCATTGTATTATTTACCATAAATTTGGTGGTTCAAACCCACCAGCTGCTCCTCAGAAACCCTATACAGAGTCAACTATGAATTGAAACTAAGTCGAGAGTATTTAACAACAACAAATCTTCACAGAGTGGACTGCCTCATCTTTCTCCCATGGAGAGACTTGTGAAGTTAAATCGACAACCTTTCAGTTAGCAGCTGAGCATTTAACCATGTAACCACCAGGACTCCAAATAAGTTCTAAATATTGATACCTCCTTCACTCTCCCCTCCTACTTACCCCTAGTAACCACTAATAAGCTTTGGATTTTATACACGTGTCTGTAAGTGGGAATATACAATATATGTGCTTTTGTGACTGAATTATTTCATTCAACCTAACGTTTTCAATCACCACTCATCTGTCAATTTTTTGTACTGTAGTGGCTTGTGAGTTGCAGTGACTCTGGAAGCTGTACCATGGGTATTTTAAATACCACCAGGGTTATCCACAGTGGACAGGTTTCAGATGAAAGTTGCTCTCTAGTATTAAAGCAAATAGAAGAAATGAGGAGATACAAGAGCTGAAAAGAAAATTTCAAAAGTCAGCTCGAGATGACAAAGTCAAATAGTACAACGAAATGTGTAAAGATCTGGAGTCAGAAAACCAAAAGGAAAGAACACACTCAGCATTTCTCAAGTTGGGGGAACTGAAGAAAAAACTCAAGCCTTGACTTTCATTATGGAAGGATTCTCTGGGCACATTATTGAATGATGCTGAATGCATTAAAAGAAGATGGAAGGAATACACAGTCACTGTACCAAAAGGAAATGTTTGATATTCATCTGTTTCAAGAGGTACCGTATGATCAAGAGCCAATGATACTGAAGGAATAAGTCCAAGGTGCATTGAAAGAACTGGCAAAGAACAAGGCACCAGGAATTGATGGAATAAAAATTGAAATCTTTCAAGAAAGTGAGGCAGCACAGGAGGCACTCACTCATCTATGCAAAGAAATTTGGAACACAACTCTCTTGCCAACTGATTGGAAGAGATCCATATTTGTGCCCATTCCAAAGACAGGTGACCCAGCGGAATGCGGAAATCATCAGACACTATCTTTGATATCCCATGCGAGTAAAGTTTTACTGAAGGTAATACAGAAACGGCTGCAAGCATACATTGATAGAGAACTTCCAGAGGTTCAAGCTGGTTTCAGAAGAGGATGTGGAACAAGGGATATCATTGCTGATGTCTGATGGATCTTGGCTGAGAGCAGAGAATACCAAAAAGATATATACCTGTGCTTTATTTACTACACAAAGGCTTTTGATTGTGTGGATCATGACAAGCTATGGACAACATTGTGAAGTATGAATATCCCTGAACACTTAATTGTGCTCATGAGGAATTGATACGTGGACCAAGAGGCAGTTTGTCTGAAAGAATATGGGAACACTGATTGGTTAAAAATTAAGAAAGGTGTGTGACAGGGTTGTATTCTTTCACCATACTTGTTCAACCTGTATGCTGAACAAATAATCCAAGAAGCTGGGTTATATGAAGAAAAACATGGCATCAGGATTGGAGGAAGACTCATTAACAACCTGCGATATGCAGGTGATACAACCTTGCTTGCTGAAAGTGAAGACCATTTAAAATTCTTACAGATTAAAATCAAAGACCACAGCCTTTGGTACGGATTGCATCTCAATGTAAAGAAAACAAAAATCCACACCACTGGACCAATAAATAACATTCTTATTAATGGAGGAAAGATTGAAATTTTCAAGGTCTTAGTTTTTCTTTGATGAACTAACAACACTCATGGAAGCAGCAGTCAAGAAATCAAACAACACATTGCATTAGGAAAATCTGCACAAGGCCTTTATAAAGTGTTGAAGAGCAAAGATGTCAGCTTGATGACTAAGGGGTGTCTGACCCAAGCCGTGGTATTTTCAATAACCTCATATTCATGCAAACACTGGTCAGTGAATAAGGAAGATCACAGAAGAATTTATGCTTTGAGTTATGGTGTTGGCAGAGAACATTGAAACTACCATGGGCTGCCAAAAGAACCAACAGATCTGTGTTGGAAGAAGTGTAGCCAGAGTGCTCCTTGGAGGATAGGATGGCCGAACTTCATCTCTCATACTTTGGACATATTGTCAGGAGGGTACCAGTCACTGGAGAATGAAATCATTTTTGGTAGAGCGGAGGGTCAGAAAAAAAGGAGGAAGACTCCCAACGAGATAGATTGGCAAAATGGCAGCATCAATGGGCTCAAGCATGGCAACAATTGTAAGGTTGGCTCAGGACTGGGTAGTGTTTCATTCTGTTGTGCGTAGGGTTGCTATGAGTTGGTACCAACTTCATGGCACCTAACAACAACAATGTTTTCAATGTGCATCCATGTTATAGTATGTATCAGGACTTTGTTTTCTCTATGACTGAAAGATATTCCACTGTATGTCTGTACTACATTTTATTTATCCATTCTTCTGTTGGTGGACATTTAGGCTGTTTCTACCTTTTGACTTTATGAACAGCACTTCAGTGAGCCTCTTGGCTTAGATCAAGTGTAGTTTCTTTTCTTATCAAATTGTTTACTTTTCAATGTACTATCTATTCTAATAAAACTCAAACTTAAAAATAATCACTTCTTTGTTCACCAAAGGGTCCCTGAGTGGTGCAACATATTTGTGCTCAACTACTAAACTAAAAGTTGAAAGTTCAAACTCACTCAGCAGTGCCATGTAGAAAGGCCTAACAGCTTGCTTCCATAAAGATTGTTGTTGGTTATCACTGAGTCCTTTCCAAACATTTTGACCACATGTAAAAGAGTGGAATTGTCCCATAGGGTTTTCATGGTTGTAATCTTTATAGAAACAAATTACCAGGCCCTCCTGTAGAGCCACCAAATGTTTGAACAACTAATCTTTAAGTGAACAGACAAGCCCATAACTATTGCACCACTTGGACTTCTTCCATAAAAATTACAGCCAAGAAAACCCAGTGGAGCAGTTCCACTCTATCATAGGTGTGATCACCATGAGTTGGAATCAACTCAACAGCCACAGGCTTGGTTTGGTTTTTGTTCATCAAAAGAACCAATTTCTGACTACAGATGCTTCACATTGACAATGTGTTTCTCATCCCCTAGGTGACCGATGGAACTGAATGTAGGCCATACAGTAATTCTGTCTGTGTTCGAGGAAAATGTGTGCGAACTGGCTGTGATGGCATTATTGGCTCCAAGCTACAGTATGACAAGTGCGGGGTCTGTGGAGGAGACAACTCCAGTTGTACAAAGATTATTGGAACCTTCAATAAAAAAAGGTAATATAACGATAATATATATAGTTATATATACAACAT